AAGAGAGAAGAAGAGGGAAGAAAAAGAATCTTATTCCAAAAGGAGAGGCTTAAACAAACAAACCAACAAATGAACAAAAAAACTATAAGCCTGATTCCAAAGAGAAAAAAGAAAAAAGAAAAAAATTAAATTAAAAAATTTTAAAAATAAAAAAATAAAAAGAATTAAAAAGGACTAAAAATAAAAAGTCTGGTCCTATGTCTACCATAACTGAAGCTGATGCTTTGGAGCACTCTATGATCAGTAGACTCGGTACATGTGTGTGCCCTGCGTTTGTCTTCTGGGGGAGAGGCTTGCTGCTCTGGCTTACAGTTAGACCTGCCCTAGTAAAAATGCGCCTGCCAGGCACAGGGGGGCATGGTTTGGTGTATGTGACTACAGCCTCCACTGGGGGTGCTGTTTTTTTCTACGAAGTCTGACCACACTGTTGGCCTGCTTGAGGGGGTGGGGGTGGAAGATCTTGTCAAACTGCACTCACCCCCAGGGAGGGGAACTTGGGGCCACCACTGCTCAGGAGGCCCTCGCAGACAGCATACAGTCTTCCCTCCTATGCCCCAGGCTTTTGTCAGATCCCTGTCCTCAACCTGTCTGTGCCTGGGCCGTTGGCTTGCCCGGTGCCACAGTTCTGTGTTTTATCTCTGGTTGGTGGCTGGGATTCAAAATTCCAAATCTTAAAGACTTGGCAAGGTGCAGACCCACTCCCCTCCCCTGTAAGAGGCTCACAACACGCACCTGACACCATTCTGTCCCAGAAAAGCAATTGCATTGCTGTGCAGGTCCCTGGAGTCTGTTGTGAAACATAGTGAAAAGCTGCAAACAGGTTATCTGCCCTTTGAGTATGCCTTTGTCCCCTGCTGTTGAACACTTGCTCAATAGCACTGGATGGGTCTTTTGTCCTTGGAGAAGCAATATACCCTCTTCCAAATGTACTTCAGGAAGGGGAACATTCTCTTTCACTGTGACCCAGGGGATCCCCACACCACAGTGTCTTTCATGAGCCCTATGCCCTGCTCTCTCTCCCACTCTCTCCCTCTCTTCCTGACTTGTCTCCCCCCAAAAAGGGCTCCATCCCCTCTGCAGCACCATGGTTTTTCCTCTCCCCCAATTCATGTCTCTGAACCTTGCATCTGCCCATTCTCTCTCTCCCTCCATTTGTGCAAAATGTTTTCTTAATCCTCAGATTGATATCCTAGTTGTTCAAAATAATTTGATGTTGATCTAGCTGTATTTGTGGGAGGAGGCAAGCCCAGGGTCTCCCTACTACTCTGCCATATTACTTCCCTCTCCTATCTGAACTCTCCATTCCCTAACTTTCACTCTGCAGGTGTCTTTAGGTCTAAAATGAGTCTCTTATAAGCAGCATATAGATGGTTCTGTTTTTTTAATCCATTTTGATGCCCTTTGTGTTTTGATTGGAACATTTAGTCCATCTACATTCAGAGTGATTGTTGATATGAATTTAGTGCCATTGTGTTACCTGTATAGTTGGTGTTTTTGGTGATGTTCTCTGTTCCTTTCTATTCTTTGTTGCTCTTGGTCTTTTTTTCCCCACTCAAGGACACCCCTTCAATATTTCTTGAAGGGCTCATTTAGTGCTCATAAACTCCTTTACTTTTCGTTTGTCTGGGAAACACTTTATCTCTCCTTCTATTCTGAATGAGAGGCTTGCTGGATAAAGTATTCTTGGCTGCATATCTCCCCATTCAGCACATTAAATATATCATGCATTTCTCTTCTAGCCTGCCATGTTTCTGTGGGCAGATTTGTTGCAAAACTGATCTGTCTCCCTTGTTTGTTAAGGACTTTTCTTCCCTTGTTGCTTTCAGCATTATTTCCTTTCTTGTGTATTTTGTGTATTTGACTATGACATGTCTTGGTGATGGTTGGCTTCTGTTGAATTTAATGGGAGTTCTCTGTGCTTCTTGGATTTTGCTGTCTGTTTCCTTCCCCAGATTAGGCAAAATTTCATCTATAATTTGCTCAAATAAAACTTCTGCCCCTTTTTCTTTCTCTTCTTCTGGAACTCCTATGATATGAATGTTATTATGCATTAAGAAGTTGCTGAGTTTCCTAAATCTACATTTTTTTTAGATTTTTATTTATTTATTTGACAGAGAGAGACACAGCGAGAGAGGGAACACAAACAGGGGGAGTGGGAGAGGGAGGAGAAGCAGGCTTCCCACCGAGCAGGGAGCCTGATGCAGGGCTCGATCCCAGGACCTAGGATTATGACCCGAGCCAAAGGCAGATGCTCAACGACTAAGCCACCCAGGCGCCCCTCTTCACTTGTTTCTAAGGCATCAGTTCCTCTTGGTTCTCCTCATCACTGCTCCTACTCAGCCACCTCTGCTGGTTCTTCCTTATTTCCCCTACTTGTTAACATAGGAGTAACCCAGCATAGTCTTTATTTATTTATTTATTTATTGGCAATTTTTCAATTTTTTTAAAAAATTTTATTATGTTATGTTAGTCACCATACAATACATCATTAGTTTTTGATGTAGTGATCCAGGATCCATTGTTTTCATATAACACCCAGTGCTCCATGCAGTACATGCCCTCCTTAATGCCCATCACTGGGCTAACCAATCCCCCCTCCCCCTTCCCCTCTAAAACCCTGTTTGTTTCTCAGGTCCATAGTCTCTCATGGTTCATCTCTCCCTCCAGTCCCCCCCCCCCCATTTTTCCCTTCCTTCTCTTAATGTCCTCCATGTTATTCCTTATGTTCCACAAATAAGTGAAACCATATGATAATTGCCTTTCTCTGCTTGACTTATTTCACTTAGCATAATCTCCTCTAGTCCCATCCATGTTGATGTAAAAGTTGGGTATTCATCTTTTCTGATGGCTGAGTAATAGTCCATTGTATATATGGACCACATCTTCTTGATCCATTCATCTGTTGAAGGGCATCTCACTCTTTCCACAGTTTGGCTATTGTGGACATTGCTGCTATGAACATTGGGGTGCATATGGCCCTTCTTTTCACTACATCTGTGTCTTTGGGGTAAATACCCAGCAGTACAATTGCTGGGTCATAGGGTAGCTCTATTTTTAAATTTTTGAGGAACCTCCACACTGTTTTCCAAAGTGGCTGTACCAACTTGCATTCCCACCAACAGTGTAAGAGGGTTCCTCTTTCTCCACAACCTCTCCAACATTTGTTGTTTCTTTCCCTGTCCATTTTTGCCATTCTAACTGGTGTAAGGTGGTATCTCAGTGTGCTTTTGATTTGGATTTCCCTGATGGCTAATGTTGATGAACATTTTTTCATGTGTCTGTTAGCCATTTGTATGTCTTCTTCAGAAAAGTGTCTTTTCATATCTTCTGCCCACTCTAAATCTACATTTGTGATCCAATACCTTCCCTTCCCTCTTCTTTTAACCTTCGTTATTTTCCATCATTTTATCTTCTAAATCAGTGATTCATTTCTCTGCTTCCTCCATCCTTATTGTCATGGCATCCAGTCGGATTTGCCTCTCAGTTATAGAATTTTTAATTTTGGCCTGACTAGTTTTTAGGTTTTTTAAAAATCTCTGCAGCAAGGGATTCTTTAGTGTATTCTGTGCTTTTTTTTTTTTTTTCATGCCCAGCTACTATCCCTGTAATTGTTGTTTTAACATCTGTTTCATATATCTAATATCTGTATTGATTAAATTCTTGGCCATTACTTCTTCCTGTTCTTTCTTTAAGGGTGAATTCCTACATCTTGTTATTTTGTCTAGGTCACGGTTTTTTTTGTGTGTGTGTGTGATTGTTAGGAAAGCTTGTTGTTTTCGTGCTCCTGAGAGTAATGGCTATATTAAGAAGAGGTCCAAAAATAGGGTGGAGGTCTTATATGCACTTTGTGGTTGTGTTTTGGTTGCTCCTATCCTCAGGTAAGTCCTCTGCAGAGTTTCCCCTTGCCTGTAATGGGAGGTGTTTGGACCTTGTCCACTGTGTGGCAAGTTTTAACTAGGTGTGTTTGGTCTGCTTTTAAAAGAAGCTAGATCCAAGGAAAGAAGCTAAATTCTATTTCCCCTGTAACTGAAGCTTTGCAGCACTCTATGATCAGTAGACTTGGTGTGTGTGGGGGGTTTGTGCTGGTCTTCTGGGGAAGGGGCCTGTTGGGTTGATTTTCAGGCCAATCTGTCCTAGTAGACATACACTTGTAGGACATGGGGGGTGGGGCTTAAAGTAAGCAGCTCCAGTCTCCCCTGCAGGGCACTGTGTTGTTCACTGAAGTTCGTCTGTGCTGAGGTGCAGGGGAGGGGAATGGCTTTGTTCCCCTCTCTCCTCCCTGGAGCAGGGAGTTTGAACCCATCACACTTCAGGAAGCCCTCACATAAGAATGAATAATCACCCCTCTTGTGTTCCCAGCTTCCATCAGATCCTTGTCTTCACCTTATCTATGTCTGAGTTGTCTGCCTGCCAGGTGGCATAGTACTCTTGTGTTTTATCTCAGGCACGCAACTGGTTTCAAAACTCTAAAGTTTAGGGACCCACATGGTGCAGACCTGCAGTGATCCTCTAGGGGAGGGTCACTGCACTTTTGCCATTTGCTGGTTTGTCCCAGTAAAGCAGCTGCATGACCATGCAGTTGTTTGGAGTTTATGGTAAATCACAGCAAAAAGCCAGCACCAAGATTTGCTGCCCTCAGCCAGTGTCTTTGTTCCTTTGTTAGCGAACAAGGCAGCACATTGGTGCTGCCAGAATGGGAGGCAGTAGTGGTTAGTTAATGGTCTTCAACAAGTTAGTGTTTTCAAAAACTATTCATTATGATTCCTGATTTGTTTAGACTACCTGTAATTATATCATTAGAGTTGTTTAGTTTTCTCAGAAGCAGCTTAAATCCAAGGCTATTGAAAGTTTTTGAAACCATTATAAAATGAGTTACCTATGTTTAATAATAATTTTTTAAGAAGTAAGTTTAATAATTTCACCCCCGAAAGAGAATTTTCAAAAAGCCTTCTCATGGAAAGTTGCCAAATTGCAATCTGTTCATATGAATGTTTTTTCAGGTGGAAGTGAATCCTCCTGGGATAAGGATAAGATGCAATCTTCTCTTGCTGCACCTGGACCTCAACATGGACTTGCTCATGCAGCCCTGGCTAGCCAGCCAGGCCTTGGGGGTGCTCCTACCCTCAATCCACTGCAGCAGAAGCATTTACTGACCAATAGTATGTATACTGTCCTTTAAAAACTTGGTGTGTTGAGAAAAATACCACACAAGACCCACTGGATGCCGTGGGCGAGCAGGGCTAGTGTATTTTTCTTCCATAAGGCTTAACAATTTGAAGTCATAAGGGTAGATTGAGAGGGATTCATTTAAAAGTATAGGTTTTATAGAGTAAATATAGATTGAGAAGGCATGTAGCAGAGTAGAGATACATGGGAGGTCATGTAGTAGAGTAGTTAAGAAAGTTGTTTATAGTCACAAAAACTTGGGTTTGAAATCCACATCTTTTGAATTCCATATTACTGTCTGACCTTGGAGAACTCACCTAACTTTTCCAAGCCTCAGTGTCCACAACTACAAAGTAGGAATAAAAATATACCTATTAAGTAAGGTTATTGTGAGTGCTAAGAATAATAATAATAAAAAAAGCTGTTAGTGACTTCCATATAGTAAGTACCATATAAATTATAAATATTACTATTACTCAGTAATCAAACTTCATCTAATGTATACCAATTCAGGTTTAGATGATGTTTTTAAGAACTTCAAAATCTCAGAGTCTTTCTGCAGGAAAGTGTGTCTTATATACACTACTTGACTAAAATCCTACTTTTCTTTTTTTTAATCCTACTTTTCTTATAAGCAGGAATCTGAGAGAAAACTTCTATTATTTCTTTCCCTGAAATTTTCATTCTCTCACTAAGCCTTAGGATTAAAACAACAGAACAGAGGGATTCTGAGATATTTTAATATGATGTTTTAAATGAAATTCATCAGTTATTAAGCATACAAAATATGTTATGGTATCTTATTTTTAAAGATATTATAAACTCAAATGTGAAGGGTCCCATAAAAAATGGAATGTTAAACAATGGTAAATAAATAAATGCCAAGAGAGTTATAAATACTATGTTATGAGAAGTCAAAAAAGGACTGATTAAGGTAGACTTATTTCATAAAGCAGGAGAACTTGGAAGATTTCTGGCTTCTGGTCTGACATGTAAAGAGTTCAGAAGTTGTCACTCCTCCTCAAAGCAAGATCAACAACTCTTTTAAATCCATCAGAAATTGAATTCACAGGGCAGAGCTATCCCCAAAACTGGAGAGATAGGCAGATAAAGAGAATCAGAGCTTATAGGGAGCAGAAGCCACATCTAGAGTCTGGTAGAAACATTTAAATTACTGGAGACTCAGTGTGGACCCAGCTTGAGAGATAAAAAACCCTAGAGGCCTTACACTATTCACAGTGCTCACCATAGTGTAAGACTGTTGAATCACAGACCTGTACCTCTGAAACAAATAATACATTATATGTTAAAAAAAGAAGAAGATAGTAGGAAGGGAAAAATGAAGGGAGAGATGAACCATGAGAGACTATGACTCTGAGAAACAAACTGAGGGTTCTAGAGGGGAAGGGAATGGGGGGATGGCTTAGCCTGGTGATGGGTATTAAAGAGGGCACATATTGAATGGAGCACTGAGTGTTATACTCAAACAATGAATCATGGAACACTACATCAAAAACTAATGATGTAATGTGTGGTGATTAACATAATAAAATGCAAAAAAAAATGAATATTTCATAATAATTTAAAATAAATTCTTAATTATTCATTAAAAAAAATGCACTTTCATGAGTCAACTCCAGGAGCACCTTCAGGTTCTCAGGATGAAGACCTGAGAAAATTCCCTTCATGTTTCTGGGACAAGAAAAGTACCCATTTCGATATATGCCCAGAGTGTTCTGTTTTCCTTAACAAAAGCCTACCCTTGAAGGAAACTACTTTACCAGAGTTAAACTACTTTGTTTTACCAGAGCCTAACTGATGTGGGGGAAAGGATATATTAAAATCCAGCACCCTGTAATCATTGCTGTGAGGTAAGGGAAATACTTCCCCAGCCTTTTTAACATTTCCTGTGGGGAAAGAGAAATACTTAACTCTAGCTCCCTCTAGCCTTCCTCTCTCATGTAAGAGGGAAAAAAGCTAAAAATCACTTGTGAAAGTCACAGCCCAAGGACACAGGTTCATTAAGAGACTGAAATCTAATCATATATTTCTCCTCCTTACACATTTTACCACCACCACAATAAGGCTCTGTATAAGAATAGTGGACTACAACTGAGAAAACTGAAGTCCTCAGACCCAATTGAATTTGGATTCTTTAGGATACACTAAAGATAACAGGGGGACAAGAAATTACCATCACTAATACAACAGCTACAGCAAACAATAAATATAACCTAACTCCCAGTAAGATAAAAGTAAAGCTTCTTACTAAAACCCTGTTTACCTGAGTTCCTTTTAGCCAATGCACCATTTCTGGCTTTAAAACAAAAATTACAAGACATGAAAAAGGCAAAAAACATAGTCTAAAGATATAAAGCAAGCATCACAACCAGAATTAGATATAACATGTCTTTTAGAATTATCAGATGGGAATTTAAAATAACTATAATTAGTATGCTAAGAAAATGGAAAACATACAAGAATACATGGGAATATTAACACTGTATGTTAATTATACTTGAATAAAAAATACATGGGAAATATAAGCAGAGAGATGAAAATTTTAAGAAACAAAAGTAAATGCTAGAAATCAAAAACACTTCAACAAAATGAATAGCTTTGATGGGCTCATCAGTAGACCAGACAAAGTCAGCTAAGTCACTGGATCATTTCCCAGGAGGAGGAGGCGTCCATCAACCTCAATGCCATCAACAAGTGCCCCCTGCTGAAGCCGTGGGCCCTGACCTTCTCCTGTGGCTGAGCCCTGCAAGCTTCTGCCCTGAAGGCCTAGGGCGGAAAGAAGGAGAACCTGAAGGCTGCCCAGGAGGAGCACATCAAGTGAACCCTGGATGACAGCCTCGCCTGCCAATCAAAGTACACCCCATGTAGTCAGGCTGGGGCTGCAGCCAGTGAGTCCTCTTCATCTCTAACCATGCTGACTAAGCGGAGGTGTCCTAAAGCTGCCCCCTCAACACTCCAGCCCCCGCCCCCTCCCACACTCACTCTTGAAGAGGGGGCGTCACCAGGGCTCCAGACTGCTCTTTCCCATCACTTTTGCACTTTCATGAGTCACATACTGAAGTATGTCAATAGAAACTTTCCAGAATGGAAGAAAAGTGAAAAAAAGATTGGGGGAAAAAAAAAACCCACAAGAACAGAATATTGAAGAATTGTGCAACAATTACAAAAAGTGTAGAATAAATGTAATGGGGATGCCAAAATAACAAGAATGAGGAAAAGGAACAGAAGAAATATTTAAAGTAACAATGAATGAAAATTTTCTCAAATTGAGATACACCAAACAAAAGATTCAGGAAGCTCAGAGATTACTAAGAAGAATAAATATTTAAAAAAATCTACACCTATGCATATTATACTCAAACTACAAAATCAAAAACAAAGAGAAAATCTTTTTAAAAAATCAGAGAGTGGGGCACCTGTGTAGCTCAGTTGGTTAAATGACTGCCTTTGGCTCAGGTCATGACCCTGGAGTCCTGGGATCGAGTCCCACATCAGGCTCCCTGCTCAGTGAGGATTCTGCTTCTCCCTTTGAACCCCCCCCATGCTCTCTCTCTCTCTCAAATAAATAAATAAATAAATCCTTAAAAAAAATAAAAAATCAGAGAGAAATAAATGCTCCTCACCCATACAGGAACAAAGATAAGAATTATACTGAACTTTTCTTCAGAAACCAGGCAAACAAGAATAGAGTGGTGTGAAATAGTTACAGTGTTGAAAGAAAAAAAAACAAACAAAACACCAACTTAGAATTCTGAATGCAGTGAAATTTCCTTTTAGTAGTGAAGAAGGAAATAAAGACTTTCTCAAACAAAAGTTGAGGGAATTTGTTACCATACCAGAGATCTGCCCTATAAAAAATGTTAAAAGAAGGTCTATAGAGAGAAGGAAAATAATTTAGGTCAGAAACTTGGATATACATAAAGGAAGAAGGTTAGAGAAGGAATAAATTAAGGTAAATGTATTTTTTCTTATTCTTAAACAGTCTTACAAATAATACTCTATTCAAAATAATAATAACAATGTATTGGCAAGTGATATAAATGACAATAATGTTATAAGGGATAAGAGGGAGGAATTGAAAATATTCTGCCGAAAGATACTTGCACTACACATGAAATGGTATAGACTTATTTGCAAGTGAATTTATAAGTTGTAAATGCATATTGCAAACTCCAGAGCAACCACGTAAATTTTTTTTAAAAATAAGTAAAATTAATATACTAAGAGAAGAGAGGAAAGAGAATCATATAAAATAGTCAGTTAATGCCAGAGAATACAACAAGAGTGGAAGAGAAGATAAAAAAAAAGGGGGGGTCAATGAATAGAAAACACTTATAAATATTATAACTAATTATCCAATTATTAATAATCACTTTAAATATGATTGGTCTAAATACACCAATTACAGACATAGATTGCCCCATGTACTCTAGTGACTAAGAATGTTGATGTTTTGGCCATTACTTGCAATATACCTCTTATATAATCATGTATCAAGCAAAATAACCAAAATGAAACAACAACAATAAAAGAATGAAGACTGTCAGAGCAGATAACAAGAGAAGATCAAACTATTTGGTGTCTATAAGAAATTCATTTTAAATTTAAAGACATAATTCAAAGTAAAGGAATGGACAAATATATACTATGCTAACACTAATCAAAAGTAGGAGTAGCTATATTAATTTCAGACAAAGCAGATTTCAGAGCAAGAAAAATTGTCAAGAATAAGAGGGGTATTACATAATGATAAAGAGGCCAATTCTCCAAGGAGACATTAATAAGCCTTAATGTGTTTGCTCCTCTTAACAGAGTGTCAAAATATGTGAGGTAAAAACTGGTAGAACTGCCAGAGAAAATAGATGAATCCATTATTATAATTGGAGACCTCAATACTCTTCTCTCAGAAATGGATATATTAAATTGACAGAAATTCAGGAAGAGCATAATTGAACTGAAAAGCACCATCAAT